TAAGTGTTTAGGTCACCGAGGCAAAGTCTAGTTCTAAACATAATTCGAATTAATGTACACAAAATTAGGACCAAGAATGGACCCATGTGTCTTGATATGGGAATTTACTATAACTCCACAGACGAGGCAAAGCAGAAGGGCGTGACCTTGAGGGAAAGACATCTACAAAGAAGGAATTCTCTGATGGAAAGAACTGCACAAATGTATAGACTCAAATGGAGGATGTGGAAAAATTTCAATCACTTTGTAATTTTCATAAATAAATATCCCCTCGTATGTTGTCTTTATCACAAAGTCTGAGTTCTCATCTTCCTAATTTGGGACTGAATTCTCTAGTCCATGTGGAAGTCCCTGTACCAGTCCAAGATGAGTCATAGGGCCTGGGAAAAGAAAAATATCTATAGTAACTGAAACTGACATATAATCAAAGCTGAAAAATATATCCAAAAAAAATGTAATATAATTTAAATTAACCAGTACAATAAACAAATATTTAAAGATGTAAATCAAGCACACTTTGGACACAGAGCAGAGGAAGTTTAGAATTCTTTCTTTTGTCTGTTTTTTAAAGCTTTAAATATAGTGGTGTTTTTTTTTTTCTTTTATCATTTCTAGTCCGTCTCATTCTCTACGTCACGGTGAAATCAGCGAGTTGACTCATGGAACACTTTCCCCTGCAGCTCTTTAACACCCAGCATAGACACTAATGTCCTGTGAAGGGCTCACATTTAACTGCAACAAGCAGGACGGCGATATGTGGGAGAAAGTCAACACTCCAACTGTGGACCGATTGTTTCTGCGAATGTGTTCTCTTGGCAAAGATCTCTGTGTGCATGTGTGAATCTTTTACATGTGTGATAAGGTCTATTAGGCAGGCGCTGGCCTTGTGCTGCTGCAATAATTGAAATGGCTTTTGAAAATAATGAAAGTGCTTTGCGTCAAAGCGATGAAGAAAGGAGGTGGCAGCACCGCGAGCTGCAGGGGCCACGGGGCAGTGAGGCTGGACACGTAGGTCCCCGGGATGTCAACCCAATTTCCAAAAATGGGTTCAGTGAAAGGCAATCTACAGGGGTAATAAGTCCTGTGTCCTTTCAGCTCAAGAAGAATAAGTCGTATTTGCACGTGTTATGAAACATGTTCTTGTACGTGCACACACACACACACTCTGTACCTACATCGCACAGAATAATCTTTGGTATTCCTTGAAGTGACAATAACAGGATGTTTTGTTAGAACCGTTCCATGGTGAGATAGGTCTCTCTCTCTCTCTCTCTCTCTCTCTCCCTTTTACATGTCTTAATGAATATAATTTAACCTGAGTTATGTTCCGTATGTTTACACAGTCAGTCAACTTATGATATTTAAAAGCTTATGCCGTGTAGCACAGAGAGCTGGAGTCAAACCCACAACCCTTAGGTAAATTAAGCCAACTCTTTTCTCCTGTCGTCCTCTAAATGTAAACTGTTAATTAAGATTGATTTTTAATTATATACTCAGAGGAGGGAGGCATGGGGAGGGGCAGCAGCACACCTGACTTGACATTTAATCAGCTGATCTCAGTGTTCAAACAGCTGATTGGTCAAACTGTGTGTTCTTGGTTGGTTGGCCGGAACAAAAACACACGAGAATAGTTTGGACATGGCTGATAAATGCAATAGGCAGGTTTATTGCAGTTTTGTTGAACTATCATGGATTTTGTTTTTTGGGGGGGGAGGGTGGGGGTTAAATGTCCTGTTCCATTGATCACATAATCTAGTGAATTAGTTTATTGGTTGTTTGCAGCTCTGAAGGAGACAGAGAGATTGAACGGGGAAAAAACCCGGGAGACCAGAGGAGACTTGGCAGAAAGTCTCACACTTTGCTGATAACTTTGTTTTTTTTTTCCTAATTTGAATTGAAGGGCGAAGGGAGGTGTGCAGGGCATTTTTGGAGGGAGAGGGGCACGGGGAGGTTGTTGTCCTTAACTGAGGATATAACTTGTTATGATTAGAATTGGAGACAAGTTTCTGGTTTGGCTGCACAAACAAATAGGAATCAGAGCAGAATGAGGCATTAGTGTGAGTGTGTGTGTGTGTGTGTGTGTGTGTGTCTGTCTCCAGGAAGGAGGTGCAGAGACTTATCTTTGGCAGGAGTGTTGAGACCCTCAACAATAACTCTGCTGACATTGTTCTCTACAGCTGTGCCCTTCACATCCTTTACCGTTTATTCTATAGTTTTCAACATAAACACTCTTCAAAAGGGAGGTGAAACACACTGAAAAAGAACCTAAACATACAAACACGCACCTCCCCCTTCTCATCCTACACCCCCGCCTCTCCCCCTTCTCCCTCAGAAGGATCCAATATCATAAGGGCAGGTTTTACTTCCAACATTGGTGTAAATGTTGTTGGGTTTTTTTACTTTTCTTTTTCCATATTAAAAAAATGCATGCAGTATGTCAGTCACAGCATCAGCAGACAGCAGGAAAATATTTGTGGGGGGAAAAAATAAATATATAAATACATGAAAATATCCCCAAGCATGACAAATGTTCTTGTTCTTCTACCAACATAAAAAAAAACTCTTCTCCGGAGCATTTGTTTATATTCAGTCATTCATTCATCTTCTACTGTTTAGTGCTTGTCAGGGTTTGCGGGGGAGCTGGAGCCAATCCCAGCAATCATGAGGCGAGCATTGACATTGTATTTTGCAGTGGTGATGCACAATAACCATATGTTGGTACGTGGTTCTTTCCATTTTGACGTAATAACTAATAAAACTTATATATAATCACATTAAAGCCGAGTCATCCGTGTCTGCTCCAGGAGGAACGCAGAACACGGAACACAGACAACGCACACAGCTGATTCAGACGTGAGGCAACATCTCTTCTGGATGAAGGGCTGCTGACCTGACCTCAGCAACTTTTACACATCCTGGCATCAGCTAACATTTATAAAGATTTTTTTTTAAAGAATGTGACATCAAAACGACAAACACTGACCACGTCATTAACATATTCACTAATCAACATAACGTTCTACACAAGATGAAACTTGCCACAATAAATACTGAAAAAAAAAGAACGGTATGATATTTTATACACAGTATAACTAAGAGTTAAAAGTAAACTTAGTTATTACCAGTTATTGTGCATTACATAAGAAGAGCCATTCCCTTTTTAGCCACGACCTGCTGGCCTTTAGTGGTACTTCAGCCAAAAAGCAGTTTTAAAAAATCACTACTTGAGTGGATGTGCATTATTTATTTGCCGTTATCACGTGTGTAGTTACAATTGGCTACAATTGGCAATGTTTTTGGAAATTTAATTCAATGAAGTCAAAATGTAGGTTTCTTTATTTCAGCTGACTTTTTTCTTTTTCAAGAGAACTCAAATAACCACATGGGGCCTTGTAGCATCAAATTGAATCAGTTTGAGCGTTTTTGTTTTTTTTCCCCCTCGACACTGCCCCCTCCTGTCTGCATAATTTCACCCCAAGGCTATTAAAGATATTATGTTCTTTCTTGTGTCATTGAAGATAATTGCTGCAGCTTGTAATCTGATATTCATGGAGAAGCAAGCTGTTATGTTTATGATTCCGCCTTAGCGTCTTAGCAAAGGTTATTTCACACTTCATTCTGGAGACACTGTTATATCGTCATGAGTCTGTGGGCTGGTGTGAAAGGAAAATACAGTTATACACCGGCCCACAGTCACAAATACGCAGTTGGTCCGTCTTTTTTTAACTTTCCCGGTAACCTCACACTTAGTGGTCGTGATAATTTCATTTAGCTTTAAACCTTAAACTTACCTCTATTATCTGATTAGTGAAACGTTGGGGAGGGGGGTTTTACTGCGGTCTGCCCACAGTTGGAGAACAGACACCATGAGGGTGGAAAACATTTAGACCAAATGGTTTTATTAGATTAGGTGACAAACAAAATCATAAACATTTTACGTCATTTTGTGGGTTTTAATCCCTTCTGTTCTGGCTTTTTTTAAAGATGTACAAAATGTCTCATGAAGCCTCACAGGCATTTTTACCAATTGTGTCACACAGTGTCTGCAGGCATTAAAAAGGAAACAGGGTTTTTGTAACCTGGTGTTTAAAAACAGACACAAGTAACTAATAGCTTAAACTTTATTGTTCAAAGCCCAATTTCCTGGAAAAGTTGAATCACTTTGTAAAATTAAGGAGTACATTGACAAAGTATTAGGACTCTCAGGTCTCAGGGAGCACAGTCGATGCAGTGGTAGACTGCGTTGAGCAACAGTGATTTCCTGAAGTAGTCCTGAGCCAGTGACTCTTTGTCCATTACAATAGCATAGCATTTCTGATGCAATATCGCCCACGGACTCGAAAGTCACACAAACTCGTCATCAGTCTTTCCTTAGCCTTCAGGCACAAATGTGTCTCCTGATTTCCAGAATTTATTTTTTTCCAATATAACTAAATGTAGCTGACAACAGGCCTAATTTATTGGCGTATGCACAGTTAAAAATTATTAACAGTTTAAAAGTTAATCACCTTTTCAGTCTTACATTGTCCAAACTTTTTGTGCCATATTCTTCATTTTTTATATCTGTTAATGTTTAACAAATGAAAGCTTCTACAATGGAACCCTGAATTAAACTTCTGTTATTTTTGCACATACAATAAAAGTTTAAGATAATTAGCAAAACAAAAGAGTTTAGGTTTTTGTTTTTAGGGGAATGCATTAACTTCTCTATATATGTGTTTATGTGTATAAGTTTAGAGAATTTTCTTTATTCTTCTTTTTACTTTGAAATAAACTTTTTAAAATCAGTTTTCTTTGATAAATCCCGGAAAAGCCAGTCTTTATAAGAAGTAGAACAAAGTTTACAAAGTGTGAAACTTCCCACTCTGTTCTTTCACTGCTTCAGGTATTGCTTGACTACTGCTGCCACCTTCTGGTTAAAAAGAAAACAACTTCTTCTTTCAAACTTTTTCAACAAATGTGCCAACATTCATTCTTTTCCTCTTTTTCTCGCGTTCTAGGCTCATTTAATGCGAAGCTGCGTCCTCCTGACTCCCTCTTCAAGGTCATTTTCTGGCTTGGCTACTTCAACAGCTGCCTGAACCCCATCATCTACCCCTGCTACAACCGTGAGTTTAAGATGGCCTTCATCCGCATCCTCCGATGCCAGTGTCAGCAGCGTAAACGACCCGGCTGGAGGGCTTACAATTACCGCTACCGTGAGTTCAAGATGGCCTTCATCCGCATCCTCCGATGCCAGTGTCAGCAGCGTAAACGACCCGGCTGGAGGGCTTACAATTACCGCTCCTCCAACCTCAGCTCCGCCGGAAACTCGCGCAAAGGCTCCACAGATCACAACTCCAGCTTTCTGAACGGCAGCCAACGCACTCTGCCGTCCTCCGCCAGTCCGAGCCCCAGCTACCTGACCAAGGGTCTGCCACCGTGTCCAGAGGGGGACACTCTCTATATATGGGGGGCCACCACTCCAACCCCCTCCACTCCTAACCTGCTGCCCGGCGGCCCTGCAGAATGTGAGCAGAGGTCTCTGAGAGAAGTGAGAGGCGGTAAAGGCGCTGAGGCGCCCTCTTGTGGTGTTTTTTATTTCTCTTTTGGGAGGAAGAGGGGGGGTAACCAAGATGGCATTGTGCCTGAGAACGAAGTGTGACTGTTGATTATGAGTGAGCCTGGACACTTTTATTCCATGTAAGGATTACAGTCTGCCACCCAGTGCGTGGATGTGGGATTACAGACAGGTTTACTGCGTCCACTGTACAGTATGTGGCCCCCTGATCATCCATCATCTGTGGATTTGTGCTCAGTGTAGGGTGAAAATGCTGTATCACAGCTGTTGTGTCCTGGTTTACTGTGTCTGTGGTGGGCCTAGACTTTCTGTCAGTAAACAATGAGGGGGTTTACAACAAAATGAACTCCACTGTTGGACCGAAACAGACATCAGTGCATGACTTACTGTATATTTACACAGGATCAAACACATCTGATCTTTTCTCTGTTCAGTTATCGATCCACAGTAAAGAGACTGATTCGTGATGTAAATGTGTGTGAGATGACAAACAATCACCTTCGTGTTGCCGTCACTTGATATTTTAATGTTTTGTTGTGGAAAAAAAATAAAATAATAAAGTATAACCTGGTTTATTTGTCATGCGCACAATTATCAGATATCTTATTTGTATGTTTGATATTCAAAAAGTCTGAAACAATGTTGGGAATGTGACTGATATAAATATAAGTGTGTACATATATACTGTATATATATAAATATATATATATTAATAAAGTTGAAGGATTGTACAAGTGCTGCAACAGTTGATTGTTACTTTGTGTTTTATGGTTCATTAAAGGAGAAATCTGTCTATTTTCCAGCCAGTCCATTCAGCAATTACTAGACATTTCTGGTGACCCTATCTGGGGTTGCAACCCCTAGTTTAAAAAAAACCACTGGTGTAGGGACTTTAGGAATAATGAACACAGGTTACACAGACACAACAACAAACCAACCTCTGGTGTAAAAGCGCCAAGTGATTTCTCATAAGGAAACAGGTGATACTGCATTGCACTGGAAATTATATTTTGAGCACATTAAGAGGCACAAAACAGACCAGGTCTAGTCAGACCTGTGGCCTCCATTTTCTCATTCAATTCTGATTATACAAGTCTGTACTGGACTGTTTACACATACTATAACAGTCACACATTCCATTTATATGCACATATTGGAGTAAACAAGCACTGCATTTGACAACAGCAACTATACTCAAGCTTTAAAATTGGGCAGGTCACAAGTTCTTTCTGCCACAAGTCCACAAGTTGACACACTGACAGCAACAAACAATATTACACCCATAAAGAAAACGGGAAATTAAAAAATACCAAGTTATAAACACAACAAATATATAATGTAAAAGAATGACCATCCTCATTAAAATCCCACAGCAGCAACTGTCAGTCAAGTCCCACTTCAAATACACTCAGAAAACAGAACAACAATCACCAAGCCAAAAACACAACAAACTAAAATTACGTGATGACGTCACACAGCAGCAGTACGTGAGTAGTGTCAGCGGTAAATTTTAGAAAATTCATGTGGACTCACCAGTGAGCTGCTGTGGTGCTGACCGTTTGCTGTGTTCTTCAAACTGACAAATCCTGGTTCATGAATATCTGTCCATCATCCGTGTGGCTTCTCTCAGTAATTAGCTGCTGCTGCTAGTGTTGTTGTTATATTCACTCTGTATTGGCTTCCATTCCTGGCCCTTGGTTCTGTATATTCACTCTGTATGGGCTTCCATTCCTGGCCCTTGGTTCTGTCTTTTCAAAAATATTAATTATTTTAATATATTTCAGTCGTGTTATGAAACCAATTCTCAACTTCCTGTTTATTTTGACTGACATTGTGAGTTACATATAAGTCACGACATTCCCAAACAAATGTGAAACGCACAGGTTGACGAACACACCGTGAAAGGCTAAGGCTCACTGTTTAGACCATGGTGGGCGGGCTTTAACCTGGAAAACACGTTTTCATTGGTTAAGCGTGAACTCTGACCTGCTTGTTGCTTTAATTTGCTCCACCTGCTGTCCTACCAGGAGCCGAGATACTGGAAACTGGGGAAAAAGTAGTAAAAATACTAAATATCGTACGAAAATGTTAAACATTACACGTGTTATATAAATATCTATTAAACGTTATTATTTTAATTGAATGATAGAATGAACAATATCAGTTTATAAACCTTTCCGTACATATTCTGTCGTTTAGTCCTGTTCTAGAAGCTAATGTTAATGACGAAAGTTAAACAACACAACACCGTCTACCGGTCTAGTTATAGAGTAATGTGTCTAATCCTTGTTGTATTTATATGTACAAATCGTGTGTACAATAATGGAACACAACACTACTCTCCCTATCGGCAAGTGATTCTTATGCAGCGGGTCTGAGTGGTCACATTCACACCACCTAGCGGTATATTCTCAGACTCTGTGGCGCAACGGTAGCGCGTCTGACTCCAGATCAGAAGGTTGCGTGTTCAAATCACGTCAGGGTCAGTTTTTTTATCCCGAATCTTTAGGCATAAAAACTTGAACGCATTGAAACATTTGTTGCTTCGGTCATTAAATAAGATGACAAATCAAATTATAAACGTATAAATGTAACACCATAACATTAGTCCTGACTCCAGATTAAATGCTTGTGGGTTCAAATTCACTTCAGGGTCAATACATACACCAAATGATGATATTTAGAATGAGAGGTTTGACCAGTGGCTGCCGAAGCGGGGCTGAGGTTGTGACTTTTCACTTTTCACTGGTTCAAGTCAACCTCAGATGTTTTCATGGTTGATTAATAATGTCTCTGCTCTCAAACCTGCTGACCTGCCGGTTGATCCACTCACCTGGCCGTCGTCCAGCAGCTGTTCTACGACTGATGAAATCCACTGTGACAGCCTGACTCTGAATGTTTGTTTAAACACTTCCTGTTATTACAGGAAAATAACTCCCTTCATCGCACACACACCAAGACAGACATACTATTATTCAAAGGTTGGATTTGTGTGAGCCCCAACGTGATGCGATCACATGATAAATGTTTTTGTACACACCTGCAGCGTACTGGGTACTATAGCATTGAGCACTGAGTATTTATGAAACTCTGGGGTTTTTTTTAAAAAACAAAACAATCATTTTGATGTTTTTTCTAATATACTCCTGCAGTACTTTAGGTTGAGGTTCAGGCAAATATTTCTAAATACACAGTACCTGCAATACAGGAGAAGAGAATACGTGCATTTGCTATTACTTTCATTTTATTGCAGCACAGGCTCAGACTTGCACGAGAAGCCTCGTCACATGGAAGAAGTGCTGGAACAACCTGACGCTGCAGAGAGCAGAGGAGAATACTCAGGATGTTTGTCCTGTTAGATCACCGCAGCTACAAAGCTACGTTAGGCACCGTCATGGAAAAAAACCATGATCAGTTTCACACGTGTGCAGGTGAGGTTAAACTCCTGAGAAGAATCAAACGGAAGAGGCAGGTTTGACAGCAGATCCAGAGGATAAAACCTGCGACAGGCCACTCCTCTCCCTGGATTCACTCCTCTCTCCTCTTCTTGCACCAAACATCATGGCTTTCACTGGGAAATATGAGCTGGAAAGTCAGGAGAACTATGAGCAGTTTCTGGAAGCCATCGGTACTTTTTGTTTTTTTTTTTCTAGTCAATAACTCGCCCTCTAGTGGATTATTGTGGATTATCAATTCATATGCTGAGTTTTACTTTTGTCCATCACAGGGCTGTCCAACGCCAAGACAGACCACAAAGTAATCACTGAGGTGGTTCAGGACGGGGACAAATTCACCTGGACACAGAGCATTCCCAACTGGACCTGGTCCAACAGTTTCACCGTTGGTGAGGAGTGTGAGCTGAAGACCATGACGGGTGCCAATTTCAGGGTAAGTCTTATACTGTATACTGTTACTGTTTTATAAGGTGTCCATTAAACACACATCCAAAATATCTGACACAAGTTTAAATGAAGTCTTTATACATCAGCATAACAGACAGATATTTATGGACATATCCTTCATTTAAGTCTAAATACTGCAGGTTTTGGAGGTTTTTAAATCAGAGAATTTCTTCTGACAATTGTCTTTTTGCACCATTTAAGAACCAAAACAAATGTTGGGTTTTTTTTTTTTTGAAACAGAAAAAAAACATATTTAAAAATGTTTTTGCAAAGTGCTTTTTGTAAGTTTCCATTCAGGTTTGGACCAGAATTCAGTGGAATCTTGATAGAGATATAATGATAAGAGTGGAGACACATCTGAACGTGTTTGGGTTAATAAATTTTTTTTTTTTTTAATCAGACAGCTTTTAACATCTGTCTTTTTTACTTTGACATTCTTACCCTCTTTCTGACCTTGGGACCTTTAGGCCCCTGTGGTCTTGGAGGATGGGAAGATTAAAATAAACTTTCCTCAGTACCACTTCACAGCGGAGATGAAAGATGACAAACTCATCATGGTGAGAAAAACTCATGATCATGAAGTGGCAGCAGCAGCAGCAGTAGCAGCAGCAGCAGCAGCAACACCAACATACTAAACTGTTTTTGTCATTCCTGACTGGCAGA